TATTTGGACAGAAACACACAAACACAGCGGGGTTTGAAAGAAATCTCTCGGTATCATTTTTGGGGATGATGGTCTGAAACCTAAACCTGCTGCAGAGAGAAGATCACGTGTCACTGCAGACGGACACAGGAATGAAAGCTCTGTGTGGTTTTCTCGCCTCATTATAATTTTATTTATTTATTTAATGGAATTGCGTTCATGGGGCTTCAAGATAATTGGAAATATTAGTTTCCCACTAAGAACATCCAGTCAAACTTTACAGATTGCACATCAACTTCTGCTTCACTACAATGAACCTTTTACATCAGATTTTGTTGTTAAATTTTCATGTTTTTTTTAATAATGATCTCAAGCTCTTGAACACACATTAAGAAAAAGTTACCGCCATGAAACGACAAGTATAGACACTGTCCTCTAATGTAAATGTAAATGTTCTTTCTTTATACAGCCCTTTACAATGACCCTTTCGGTGAACCAAAGTGCTTTACAACACATAGTAAATAAAAACGAATAATAAAAACAATAAAAGCAATAAAAAAGAATAAAATACAATGCAATAAAATGAAGTGAAAGTGTCACCACGCAACTGGGTATTAAAAGCAAGCATAAATAAATACATTTCTAGTCGAGATTTGAAAAGGCCCAGGTCAGAAATGAGTATCATATCAGTGGGGAGTTTATTCCAGAGCCTGGGACCAGCAACTGAAGAGGCTCAGTCACCCCGGTCTTTGTGTTTCGATCTGGGCACTTCCAGCAGAAGTTGACGACCTCGGAGCTCTACCAGGCTCCCGAACTGTTAAAAGCTCGGTTAAATAGCAAACCGAAGGTCTTTATATGGTTTACAGGAAGAATATCAGACTTCAGGCCAGCTTTCTACTTCCTTGTCAGTCTGAAAAGTTGTCCTGGTACAGTTTAAAGTGGTGATTTTGAGCCCATGCGGTCGTTTCCACTTCAGTCAAGTCTATTGTCAAAGCCTGAGGGCCTAAAGAGCACAACCTTCCAGTCTCAGTCTGACCTTTTTTACTATCATCATCTTCAGATCCTCTAAATCTATTAACGATATTATCTTCTGTAGTTGATAAAATCCCCAAATTCTTTGCAGTTTGACGTAGAGAACCATTCTTCTGATATTGCTGGACTTGTTGCTCACGAGGTCGGTCTCTTCTCATCAGCCGCTCTGGAATACCCCAGTCATGTTACTAATCTATTACAAATTAGTCTAATTAGTTGGGAGTTACCTTTTTTTCCTGCATGATAAAAACATTTTTTAGTGTTTTGTTGTCTCGACTTTTCAAAAACATTAAACCAAAATGATCATATATTTCCATTAATATTTTTTGAAATGTTAGTTTTTCTTATTTCTGATCACATATTAACTTTTTTAAGCATAACTCTGGATAGACTGGTGTTTTTGTTTCTAAAGGCAGTATCCTTTAATGTAGACTTGGTATGAGTGCTTTAGTATTACTTTTAAATTGAAAAGATTGAAGATTTTTGTTTTTTTTTTGCACATGATCAGGTCAAAATCATCCAAATGACGATGTCCCCGGATCACAGAGAGGCCAAACCAGGTTGTAAAATCATCTGTAATGGGAAACAGCTTTATTAACCTTTAATCATAATCTAACACCTGTGACACAGCCGGTTGTTTGTCCTTCCACATGAACGTTGCCGCTGTTTGATCTGATGAAGGTGTTTGCTGCTGTAGTCTGAAGTTAATTAAACCTCCAGAGAGTCTGGACATGAAGTGACAGACCTTTCAAATCAACAGGTCATCAATTAAAAAGCCTTTGTGCGTGTTTACAGTCTGCTGCCGCTGCTGCTGCAATCAAAACAAAAGCGGCAGATGGAAACGAGCCCTTTGTTGCTGCGCATATGCAGTCAGTTAAGGCGCAAAAGTGATTAATGGCTGATAGGAAGCAATCAGCGCTGATGGGCGCTCTGTGTGGACTGAAGATGTTGCTGTTAAGAAGGTGTGAAGAAGCACAAGGTCCAGGAAATTGAGCAGGAAACATGTCGAGACCTTCACTTCAGATGTCCTCGGATTTTATCACGAGTCCACGCGAGGTACTGAAGATGAATTTGGGGTTTGAAAAGCAGGAATTAAAGGCTGATTAGTATCTAGTCTGGTGAGCCATGGTGGTGTGAGAAAGAGAGGGTGACACATCACACAGCACCCACACAAACGAGCCTCTTCAGTCCGGTGAAGGCCACACGGACAGAAATAGCCGCAGAGCTGCTGCGTGCTCACAAGGACGCCCAACAGAACAATGTTATTATTCAACTCATTATTTCTGATGCTCTCCATTTAGGCTTTTTATCCCTCTCCATTAATATCACTGAGTGGACTGATGGATTTGATGTGTGGAAAAACCTGTTAGACACATAAAGTCATTATGTCGTTTTTTTTTATATTCAGCAGAGACGGTTATGTAGAAAAGTGCACCAGCTGGTGTAACAGCCACTGTTTATGTGTGTACTTAAGAGCATTTGGTACGGTGGTGCATTTTGACAGTGTTTGTATCTGTAAAATAGAGACTGAGTCTGAGTGTGTGGTTACACTGGCATTAAACCAGGGTAATGTGTAACCAGGACAGGACAGGTCTGTGGACGTTTACCTGCGAGGAGGAGGACCAGAGGCTGGTGGTGCTTCTGTCTGACCAATCTGACATCTTTAAAAACAAACTTTCTTGTTAAAGTTTTACTACTTAAAGTTTTCTCAGTCATCTTTAAATTGTGATTATGAAGTTGTTAGCTAAAATCACATTAGCTGTGTCATTTTCAAAGGTTTTTCTCTTCTGCAGAGCTAAGTCGCTCATTAGCAATTCGCCTCTGAGTCGTGGGCGGAGACAGCGCTGCTCTGGACACTCCTCTTCACGTGAGCTTGTAGCCTATAATTATATTTAGCTTTCTTGCGAACATTGCAATCCGCTAGCGCACACGCTTGTTCCGCGTTTGTCCTCTCTACTTTTCCGAGTTTAGGCTGTATAGCAGGGCTCTGGGGGCGGAGCTTGGATTTGTGATGTAGGAAATCTCACTGTATCTTAACTGCTGTTTGGATCCGCCAGAGATTCACAGCAATTTGAACGCAGAAATACTCAGAAATGCACTTATTTTTCTCATGATATGTCCTGTAGCATCAGAAAAATGCCGTATGAAGATGTAGACAACAAGAAAAACATGATTTTCATCAGAGTGGGTCTTTAAGTTTTATAAATATGTAATTAATTGAAGTAAATTGCGCTCAAGTTTGACCCTTTGTGAGTTTTTCACTGAAATCCAAAGTTGTCCCCGTGTCAGGGACAAATCTGGCACCGCTCGCTGTTTGGCTGACCTCTGACCTTTCAGGATGGAGGCCAGAGAAAACAAGAGTTTCTCCTTCGGCAGGATGTGAGCGGATTGAGGAAAATAACATGAAGTTATGTCATCGGAGGAGCTCGTGTTTATGTTGCTTTTGAGTCTATGATTCTGTGAGGAGGAATCAGTCGTGCGGTCACTGATGGCGAAGGTTTATTTTGGTCAGCAATTCATTACAATTTGATCGGTGATTGAAGAGATGATTCTTCTTTAAAGTTTCATGCTAACTACCAAAACATGTTGCTCTTTTTGTATTTTTTGTTGAATAATTGTATCCAATCCACTTTCTTTATTTAGTACATTTAAAAAAAACATTCAAGATTAGCAAAGTGCTGCACAATGCAGTAAAATAAGTTAAAACACACAGAACATAAAATGTTGTATGAGAATAAAAAAAATAAATAAAAGAATCACAATAAAACCACGTAAAAATACTTTAAAGAATAGATAATGAAGAAATAAAATAAAAACATAGTAAGAGCAGTTAGAGACAGACCACACAAATCTCATGCTGGGCTAAAAGCCAAGGAGTAAAAATAAGTTTTCAATTCTAAACTTATAGTCTTATTTATTTTTGTGATCACAAATCCTCAAACAACAGTGTTAATGTTCCCCAAATTACAGATGATTTTAACTTCAGCTTTTAGCTAGTGTTCGGTTGATTTTCACCTGCAATAGTGATAGAGAGTAAAGTAGGTTTGGGTGGATTTGATAGCTGCATGTTGGCGAATAAGGTCAGTAAGAGTGGTCCTGGAATTCGATGCTATCTTTATTTAGAGCAGTGGTTATGAATAACTATCACAAAGTTGTGATTTTTAAGAGAATTCATATGGTGATAAGAAACATTTCAGTCAGCTGATCATTTTTAATCACCCAAAATCTGCCATATTTTGATTCTCTCTCCTGCAGCCAAGGACCCTGAGTCTTTACCAGGGAAGACGCACATTCCCCAGGTGGATAAGAAACTAAGAACTAAGGATTTTAGGATTAAGGATTTTTTTGCTCATGAATGCCCAAGTTAAAAATAAAAATAAAACTACTTTAATTTGTCTTGTATCGTCCTATTTTGATATATTTTGATGACAAGTACTTTTTCTTGGGTATATTATGTCGGGTAAAAATCACCCGGCGATGTTTTGCGGTAGTGTTCTAGGGTTTATGATCATACTAAAAACAACAACAACAACAAAACATTGTAGACAAAATACAAATTTCGATCAGGTATTTAATTTGGAGTTAAAATATCGTATCGTATCGAAAATTTCGGTTTTAATTTTACGACACTTCAGATAAAATAAATAACAGCTCATATTATTATCCTGCAGGTCTTTATTACCTTTTACAGCCCCTTTATTTGTTTCTCCTCTCTCTCTCTTTTTCTCCCTCAGAGTAAGTAAAGGCCACTCTCCCTCCTCCCTCTCTCCTCCCTCCCTCCCTCCCTTCCTTCCTTCTCCCTGCAGTTCTTCTGTTTGTTTGCACTCACTTGATCCGGAGCGGAAATTCCTCTCCGTTTTTGTGAATGACAAACTCATTAACAATTCATCAACACGGGGCCGCTCCATCCGGCCCCCGTTTCCAAGGCGACCGCCGCTGGGGCTCCTCTGATTGGCTGGCCGACATAATGTATCCAATGAGACGCCTCCCGTTTGTAGCCATTCAGCAGCCTGGCGCCGCAGAGAGCACATCGAGCCAGCGGAGCCTGCAGAGCGTCAATTCACAGCGCAGACACACACAGAAACACACACACACACACTGAGACAGACAGACAGGAGGGGGACAGTCAGAAGGCATCCGCAGGCAAGAAGAGACACGCAAAAGCCGCGTGTTTCGCACCCACAAGAACCTTCTCCACCTCCAGCAGTGAGGGAAAGCGTTTGGATCCGTGGAGCTATTTTTCCCGAGCAGAGGAAGCTTCGGAGTGGGCTCTGCAGGGTCGGTGTGACTCATTGAGAAATAAGACGAGCTCTCTCCGGCCAGATGCATGAATGACTGCCTGAGTAGGAAACCTGCAGTCGGGAAATCTGTAGAGGAGACGCGCGTTTTCATTCCTCCGCCTCGTCTCCAGAGCGCACAGGACACCGAGGAGGAACACCTGAAGTGAGATTCTATTTGCCTGATTTCGACTTTTCCCCATTTTTGCCTCTCTCAAGGGGCCTCCAAAGCAGAGGACTATAAAAAAGACAGATTTGCTGGTTGCCTGCGTCCTTTGCGCTGCAGCCAGGGACTCTCTAACCCAAACACCAACCTTCTCCACTCGTCTTTTTCACCTCCTGCGTATAAATGCTCGACAAGCTCAAGCCCGTCGTCCAGCTCGACTCGGTAATGGCGATCAGCAAGACGGTGGGCTGGCTCCGGGAGCAGCTGGAGACGCGCAGGGACGGCCTGTTGGTGATGGACTGCCGGGCCCAGGAGCTGTACGAGTCATCGCACGTCGAGACGGCCATCAACGTGGCCATCCCGAGCCTCATGCTCCGCCGGCTCAAGAAGGGGAACCTGCCCGTCAGGTCGCTGCTCTCGGACGGGGAGGACAGGGAGAAGTTCGTGCGGAGGTGCAAGACGGACACCATCGTGCTGTACGACGAGTACAGCCGGGAGTGGAACGAGAATGTGGACGGGGGATCGGTGCTGGGTCTGCTGCTGAGGAGGATGAAGGACGAAGGCTACAGGGCCTATTATCTGGAGGGTGAGTGCGGTTCATTCACATTTTAGGGGGGCCCTGCCGCTCATTCACACCCGCAGAGTGCTGCAGAGACGGAGGGAGGCGCTTTAGCTGGGGGTTAACGTGGATTCACGTGTAGTGGTCGACCGATATCGGCTTTTTTAACGTCTGATGCCGATAATTTAAGGGTTGGATGGTCAATCTAGGAGACAAAAATCAATTTATTCATGTTTTTTTCTGAATTTGTGTGTAATGGAATAAGAGATCGGTTTCTGCTATCGATTTCAAGCATGTCAAAAACAACATAAATGTGCTTTATTCTGATAATATGATCATTTATATTCAGCACTGGCCTGCAGCTGTTTTCGATTTGATATGTTGTCGTTCAGTAAAGAAACATCAACTCCAGACCAGCTGCAGTGTCTGCAGACCTGATTTGCTTATCAGCCTTGAAAGCAGAGATTACGCCGTTATTGGCCTAACCAGTGAATCAGTCCACCTCTTAAGTCTAATGTTTTTATTATCAGGATCATCAAGTCATTGTTTACAGTGATCATAATTGTTTAAATATCCATGACTTGGTTATTTGTTTACTTTTTGTGAGGTGGTTAAAGCGTGCATGAGTTTGCAGCTGTATCGGTCTGTGCAGAAACATCACACACATGTTCATAGGGGCATTAAAGTTATTGTGTTTTTGGTGTATTTTCCAGGTGGTTTCAGTAAATTCCAGGCCGAGTACCCCGCTCTGTGCGAGACCAACCTGGACGGCTCCTCCAACAGCAGCTCCCCCACAGCTCAGGTGCTGGGCCTCGGAGGCCTGCGCATCAGCTCCGACTCCTCAGACATCGAGTCAGACATCGACCCGAGCAGCGCCACAGACTCTGACGGCAGCCCGCTGTCCAACCCCCAGCCCTCCTTCCCGGTGGAGATCCTGCCTCACCTGTATCTTGGCTGCGCTAAGGACTCCACCAACCTGGATGTCCTGGAGGAGTACGGCATCAAGTACATCCTCAACGTGACTCCCAACCTGCCGAACCTCTTTGAGAACGCCGGGGAGTTCAAGTACAAGCAGATCCCCATCTCGGATCACTGGAGCCAGAACCTGTCCCAGTTCTTCCCAGAGGCCATCAGCTTCATCGGTAAGAAACTCTCCAAGCAAACGCTAACTTTTTCCTCTTCTGATTAGACTGCAAATGAATGTTTCTGGATCGTTTATTTATCATGGAGAATTAGCCAAACCAACTCTCCAGATATCTCATTTTGTCTGCCAAACAGTCCGAACTGTAAAAACAGATTTATTCTTTCCTAGAGACAGGAAACAGCTCGACAGCTCGCTCCATTATCCGCCAAACGCATCCCTTTGATGACCTTGTGGTTGTTTTGAACATTAGCAGACAAAGCAGAGGGGCAGCAGGTGATAGCAGGGGACATAATCTTATTAATTTGATATGTCTTATCGCTGCCAGGAAGTTCTTATGTTCTTATTGTGCATTTGAGATTAGATGAGGTGTCCCTGGCTGTGATCTTATCAGTCACTCAGGCAGGGACACAGAGCAGGCAGATTAGGGCCATTGTATGCGAGTCAGAGGAACACAAGTCCGCCTCTAATGGTGCACGGGCTAAAACGCACTGAGTGTGTACAAAAGGCCCTGACTTCAATGGAAGACATCCTGGCCTATCTCTTGTCCCGGGGCTTGTGTAATTGCAGCACAAAGGGCGACGTTGAAACAGGAGAACAGGGGAGAGTGAACGAGGGGAGGGCGGTAATTCGAGCGCAACAGGAAGGAAGTGGCATTGAAAGTAATCTAGGACATGGCATTGCCCCCCCTTCCTACCCTCCCCTTCCTCCAGCCCTCCTCTCCACAGCACAAAAGGAGCCATTTACAGGCCCTGTTGACATCCTGTTCGCCTTGACAGGGTTGCCCTCATGACTCCTACGTTTACACGCCCAAATGGCACCATTGTCGGAGTAACCCTAGCGAGCGGAAGAATGGTTTAATAGACCGTAATAGTCAATTTCCCAGCCGGCTACTCCAGGCCAAAAAAACTAAAAGAATGTCGGCTCTGTTTGTGTGCGCTACTGCTGCAGCTCTTGTTTGTTGACTGACACGCCTGGGAGATAGCCGGGATAATAACTTCCGCCGCTCTCTCTCTCTCTTCCCTGGATACGCTCCAAAGTTCAACACAACTCACATTAAATGTCACAGATGTTTATCACAACTTCTGTTCAGTTCCTCTGGAAAAGACTCCGAAAAGGTGCAAAATAAACCCTCTAAATTTAACTTAACCCTGCAGCTCCTCATGAACGGCAGATTTCTTGCTTTACTTTTCAGTATTTTAGGATTCTGGGACTGTTTGTTGGACAAAATGAAGCAGCTGCGGACTTTTCTACGGTGGCCCTGAAGTGCAAAACATCAAGAGAGTTGGGAAACACCAAAATGACTCACTGAGCACAGCAACAAATCACAAAAAAAGAGCTAATAAGACAGAAACAACAATGAGTCATAAATCACAAGGACAAAACGCAGCAGGGTTGTGTTACAAAACACAACAAAAACATTATTTAACAGGATGAAAAACCACAAAAACACGACAACAAATCACTAATAACTGTTAAGAATTACAAGTAAACATGAAAAAACTCAAGAAAACAAAATTTTTTCATGTTTTGTGATTTCTTGGTATGTTTTTTTTGTGATTTGTCCTTTCCTGTGGTGGTTCCCATTTCTCTCTGTCTTTTGCACTTCAGAGCCTCCGTACATTTCTTATTTTTACCATTAAACCTTAAATTTATTGGTCATTTAACATGACATTTTTGACACTTGAAAGATTTGTGCACTTCCAGGAGAGGTCTATAACACGTTCCCTTCTTTTTTCTTCCACCAGATGAGGCTCGAGGTCAGAAGTGCGGCGTCCTGGTCCACTGTCTCGCCGGCATCAGCCGCTCTGTGACGGTAACAGTGGCCTACCTGATGCAGAAGCTGAACCTGTCCATGAACGACGCCTACGACATCGTCAAAATGAAGAAGTCAAACATCTCCCCCAACTTCAACTTCATGGGCCAGCTCCTGGACTTTGAGCGCACTCTGGGCCTGAAGAGCCCGTGCGACAATCGCTTGGCGGCGCCCAGCCAGCCTCTTTACTTCACCACCCCAACGAACCACAATGTCTTCCAGCTGGACCCCCTGGAGTCCACGTGAGGCCTGCTCTAACGCCCCTCTACTTTAACCGGAGGTTTCAACGCACCTCCTGTTGGAAAAAGCTGCAAAAAGTTAATCTTTTTTCCGTCGTCTGGCGACACGGCATTGATACGGACGGTTTGAGGCGACTAGTGCTGAGCGTGGTTACTGGAGGGCCGAAGCAGTTTGGGCCGAGACGCAGCTGCTTTTTGAATAAATGAGGAGAGACAGAAACGAGGAAGAGAGTCATTTCAAGAATGCAGATACTTACTTCAATCTTATATAATCGTTGGACTCCTGGGGTCTTTTCTCTCTTTTTTTTATCTGTTGTATCAGAGGAAAGTCAAAGTGGGACAGCTATATGTTTTGCTTCTAAGCTCCTGGGCTGGCGTGCCAAAGAGACCTGATTGTTCAAACTGGACTGATCTGAATCCTTTCGTATGGGGCCGTTTCGGGGTCTAGCACTCGTTCGCCCGGAGACGTCAAGATGCATCGTCTGCTTCGTCTTCTGTGAAGACTTGCCTGAGTGGGGTTAAAGCGCCCCGGCTTTAAACGGCACACTCTATACTGGACTCGATTTTACATTTGTGGAGTCTTTTCAAACATTTATACATTGTGTATATACATCTTAATATAAAGAGACAATACAGTAAAAGCCTTGCTCTAGTATATAAACACCCTTTGCAACAAGTGGGTACTCTTTGTTTCATATTCTACTTTTATGTAAACGAAACAAACAACTTATTGATCAGTATGTTTTAAGATAATTATGCCAAAAATCAAGTAGAATTGTGCAAAAATGTGTACATGTGTAATATATTTGATAATCGCTTTATGTGTGAATTCAGCCGACGGCCTTGTTTTTGCACCCCCCCTGTCACGAATCAAAGTCACCTTGGTTGTTTGCCTTACTTTTACCCTCAGAAGGTTTTTGTGCATTAGCCTCCAGAGAGCTTCACCCACTCAAGCACACCAGATTTCTTTATGGCACTATGCACGTTCGAGTCTGAACGGCCAACATGCCTCTTGTCTGGGTCTCTGAAGGTTAATGCGAGCGATCGTTTTCTGTGCACAAGGGTGAAAAGTCTCCGACATGTGGAGAGAGAGGAGAAGGCTCGGTTCTTCTCGGCTCTTCAGGGAAAACTCTGCAAAAATGCAGTTTTTTATTTGTCAAGATGAGAGAGAGAGAGAAAAAGTGTCTCCCTACAGAGAAGGCCTCTTTCCAGAGGGGCGCCATCGCGGCCACCTCTGCCAACCCCACTCCACACTCCTCTCTTACGAATGTAAAGAAAGATAAGTTATTAATAAATTGCTATTTTGTCTACACTTCCTGCTTCATGCTTGTTTTTCCATTGACATAATTGCTGGTGTTTTGTCTGTGTCTGCTCTAACACATTTATGTAAGTGTCTCCTCGCCTGCAGTACAGTGAACCAGCAGGCCGAGTCACGACAAACAAAAAAAAAGTCGCCGTGAATCACAAGGCCTCTTCACAAAGCTCCGGCTATTCATTTACTGCAGCGCTCCACACATCTCCCACTTCAAATTTCCAGCTCAGAAATTAGCGTGCTCTGTCCCATGATGCTTGTATAACAAAAGCGTCATGCACATTCTGTTCTCTGAGACAATCATTCACGAGCTGCAAAATGCTACTCAACAGGTACAAAGTGATTCCGGTCACGCTGTAAACAGCCCGGACTGGTTTTTCCAGGTGCCGCTTTGTGGCGAGGGCTTCGAGTTCACACAAACAATCCCTCTGGCGCTTCCTGAAGGCGGGGCTTGAGCGCACTGCCATCAAAGGGAACTAAAAGTACCCAGATATGGTGTTATTTGAGAGCGAGCGCAGCAGAGTGTACCTGCAAAAGACCTAAAGGCCCGGGAGGAGATCAACTCGCTGTGTAGGAGAGAAAGGAGGAGCGTGGAGTTCACACGCAAGCAGCGACTCGCTTCACAGCTCGGAGGAGGCCTGCCTGCTCTGCAGAAACGTTCCCACACACAAATGAGGAAGAGTGTGCGTGTTTTTACACCAAACTTACATTTCTTAGCACATTTCATACAATAACACGGCTTCACCAATTAAAAAAACCCTCAAAGATAATAAGCAAATCTTATTTAGAATTAAAGCTCATTTCAAGCAGACAAGATTGAAGGTAATTGACAGTTGCTGAATGAATGGGACTCTCTTTGACTGAGTCACTGCAGCTCTTCCTTTTGTCTGCTCTGTGTTTGATGTGTGCAGCATGTGGATGCTTGTCACAGAGTAAATGAAGTAAATAGAGAGAGTGAGTCAACACAAACAGAAGAGATCGACTTCTAAGAGACGCTTTAATCAAGTTTGTTAATATAGTGTGGAGACAGTCTGGACAGATTAACATTTCCCAGTGATGAAATATTTCAAAATTAGAGGTTTGCAATTTCATTAAAATGATGTGAACAGGTGTTGAGACGATTCCTTGACGTTAAAGTTCCACTCTGATCGTTTTTTTTACTACTTTTTCTCAGTCGTCTCTAAATTGTGATTATGAAATTTTAGCCGAAATCATGTTACCTGTGTCATTTTCAAGGATATTTCTCCTGCAGAGCTCCAGTAGCTCATTATCAATTCGCCTCTGAGTCGTGGGCGGAGACAGCGCTGCTCTGCACACTCCTCTACATGCTAGCTCGCAGCCTAACATCCCCGGTGTAGGTACCAGAAGTGTTTGGGCTGTCGGATCGGCGCCCACTAATGACATCACGCTATACGAGTTGGTGAGGACATTACAGAGGCGGTTTTTGCCTATTTAGGTTTCATGGGATTGTCGTTCTTTGGAGAAAACATGGTCGAACTTAAAGAAGCAATCTTTAACTACTTGTCAACAGGGACTTAAGACGGCCGGACTACTAATCTTTTAGGTCGCCAAAGGAAATGTGGAATAAAAGCAAAACTATCTATTGATAAACAGAGATGCTGCATACATTTCTTTCTTTTGTTTTTCCTGTAGAGAAGTAAATATATACAATTAAAAAATTACATCTAAAATTACAGTAAAGTAAGTTTCAATTCTCTGTATTATATGGAGAGAAAGTTTTGAGGTCAATTGAATCCACAAACAGAAATAAAGAAAACTGCGAAGGGCTTTTAACTGAGCACATTCAAATAAATGGAGAGCAATGTAGTTTGTCTGAGTGGACTCGCCGTAGTGTGACGTCTTTAACTGGCGCTCGAGCAGATCTGGCAGCCTGAACACATCTGGTTCCTACACCAGTGTTGTAGAAGTAGCAGGTAACATAGAAGCTATTCAGTTCTGAAAGGTAATATGATTCTTAGCTTTCTTATGAGCGAACGCACTCACTTGTTCCGCGATCGTCCTCTCTACTTTTCCGAGTCTGGCCTACAGAGTGGGGCTCTGGGGGCGGAGCTTGGATTTGTGACTTATGAAATCTCACTGTGTCTGAACCTGGCGTTTGGGTCTGCAAGAGATTCACAGCCATTTGAATGCAGAAATACTCAGAAATGCAATATCACACTTTACTTTTTTTCATGATATGTCCTGTAGCATCAGAAAAATGAACATATGAACATGTAAACAACAAGAGAAACATGATTTTCATCAGAGTGGGTCTTTAAACACCAGAAACATCACTGAAAGACTTCTGAAGATGAATCATGTGCCTGATAGAAAATGTCCCATTAACAAAGCACCACCGTTAATTATCAGTAATATGTAAAAGCTGAGCAGCGACTAGATTAAGAGCTTTAAACCAAACGTCTCCCTGACACGTCGTCCTCAGGTTTGTGTTGGAAATACAGGCAGGGGTGCAGCTGAACAAAGTGAGTGAATCATTGGCTATGTAACAAAGAGCTGAACCTGCACACTCATGTCCTGACGTAAATGATTTATAAAAAGACTTCAACTTTTCAGGAGGCGCCCGCGCTCACCCCTTTGCTCACTTTCCATTTCAGGTGATATTTTCCGTTTCCTGGGTAATCATTTCATAATAATATGACTCGTACGTGCTAACTTAAACTCACACAGTGTTGATTTGATGGCTTTTCTCTCATGCTACCTTTAATAATTTGCATGACCAGGAAAGGAAAACATTTAGCATAAGTGGAAATACATTAAAAAAAATAATCTATGCTAAATAATCCTCTGCAGCCCCCCCTGATCTCTCTGGGACTTGATACTGATTTTTACGGATGTCGTCATTCATTCAGTTTTTCCCCCCAATGAATACTTTATAGGGTCATGTGATGCGCCTGCTGCACTGAATAGAAAGACGAGTCAAGAGTTCATCATGGGATTAGAGCAGATATACAGTACAGGCAATGAGTGACAACATAACGTAACCAATCCATCTGAATTGTATAAGGAAGCTCGGGGCGACTCTGCTTGAACCCGCTAACCCCACACACATTTTGTCAACGAGCGAGTCACGGATGAAGAAAATTCAAACTAAACCACCCCACAGTCGATGGAAGTGAGATCTCACTACCTGTTGGATGGACATTGCAATTCCTGAAATGTCATACTCGGCATTATCGGTATGAATATTTAAAGAGGTGCAAAGATTGTTCCTCATGTGTTCGACGTTATGATGGTTTTGTTAAATCTGGAGCTCAGGAGCGTACGTGACAACATGCAAATCGACTGTGGCATCCAACTGTAGCTACATTCGACGATTAACACCAAAGTCATGATTTCTAACAACGCAAGATCATTTACTTTAAACTTAAGCTCTGATATTTAAAACAAGGTTTATTTTCGATCAAAAAGTAGGCCACGTGGATCGTCTTATTCACTGCTTCTTGAATATTTGACTCAATTTATGAGTATCAGTCAAGAATACCGACGGTTAAACCATCATCTGGAGGGCTAGTAAGTTTAACAAACAACCCCTTGCCAGTGTGTTTACTGAGGATGGTCCAAAAGCCCTAAAGCTCCATAAAGCTTCAGCTGCCCATCAAAACCTCATCTGTTGGACTTCCTGCTGGGTCTTAGATCTCTTTTAAAGCCTCATGTTTTCAGAAATAGCTGCTCCAAGGATGAAGCATGATGGGGCTTTACTAGAGGAGGAAGAGCTACTGCCTTGCAAACATATATGAGGCTTACGTGTCGTGATATATTGGAATAGATAAAAGTTAAATAATGAACCCATAAAACTGATTATCTAATTTTTATGGCAAGCTCATGCAAGAATAGAGTACAAGTATCTGGTCACCAGTCCTGCTCTCTGTACGGGTTGGGATCCAGTGTCTTGCTCAAGGACACTGAAACAGATATGGACTCACTCTGCAGCCAAGGTCCGGACCTCTGAGCCCCCAGGTGAAGGGACAGGTCTCCTCATGCTCCGGATGTCATCCATCACATCCAAAACCCAACTTTAGCCCGGCCTGGGAAGCTCTTATTCTTAGAACGGGCCGCTGTGATGTCATGGCAGGACCGGGATTGACAGATAGCGTTGGGGGTATGTGCGGCATGCTGAGCACCCGGGGGGCTCTCATGGCCGTTCTTCCTGTCTGCGGCTTGGCCTTTCGTGGTTCTAAAGCCAAGGATTAAAGGCCACAGGAAACTACCGGTGCTAATTTTAGAAGGCATGTAGATGGGCCTGGCAGAACCCTTCAGCACCTTCATCACATCCGCACAGCGGCAGTGACAGGGCAGGCCATACTGGGATCTGGAAACACGTATGGCTGGGTCATGGCGAGGGCTGTAAAGGGGGGGTCGGCATGTGGACATGTGGTCAGATGACTGATAGGCGTGGAGTTAAATGTACAGTGGTGGGGCGATCAGCTGGCAGACTAAAAAAGCACTGCTCTGGGGTCAGCATTGGAGGGTAGAGAGATTCAACAGTGAAACTTCAGAGTCCCCTCAGACCCGGGACTTTTCTGTAATTCAATGATACTGAGATCTTCAGTGGTGTAAAACGCTGTTTGGAACAACCAGATCCACCGCGAGTGTTGAAGGTTAGATCCCACTCATATACCAAGGCTTTAATCCTTGAAGTAGGCAGCTTAGGTTGGACTTAGACCTGAGCTGGATGGAAACATTTATTCCTCTAAATCCTGTTTGTTTTGTTCAGCATCAACGGTCCGCTCTCAGATGTGTAAGCCACTAATGCGTTGGTCTCCAGCAGTTCTGCGTCATGTTTTCCTCTTTGCATGGCACAGTTTCAATCAGCCTCTGTGGATGAGTTGACAAACTGTGTCGATACAAATGCAGTGATTTCCACTACAGAGCCATCAGCTTTTAATGCAGTGGCAAATGAGGGCCCAAAGGTCATGGCCATTCATGGTTTTCAGGGTTTTGTTGCCCCTGTCCCAGCTTTTTTGAAACCTGTTGCAGGCATGAGGTTGAAAATGAAAAGTTTCTAGTTCGTTTGTGCATCTGATATGTTTTCTTTGCACTATTTTAAGTTAATAATAGGGTTTGAGTTATTAGCAAGCTCTCTCGATCAACATTTCAAACAGGGTCCCAACTTTTCTAGACAGTCTGGCCGCAGACTTCCACTGTCAGGACCCTTTTGTTGCAGAATGGTCAACTGCCACTGAGCAGACCGTGTGTTGATTTGAAGCCTTTCAAAATAAAAGTAAATATACCGGGAGAATGCTTTTTTTTTATTAATTTTTTTATTTATTTAAGAAGTATTTTATTTTATTTTTTTACATTGGAAGTTGATTTGAAGCCTTTTAAAATAAAAGCAAATATATTAAGAGAATTAAAAAAATATATATTTATTTTTTCAGGAAGTTGATTTGAAGTCTTTCAAATTAAAAGCAAATATACCAGAAGTATTTATTTATTTTAACTTTGGAAGTTGTGTCAAAGCCTTTCAAATTAAAAGCAAATTTACCGGGAGTACTTTTTTTTTTTTTTTTTTTTAATGTTTGAAGTTTTTTCAAAGCCTTTTAGATTAAAAGCGATTAGACTTGGAAGTATGTTTTGTCTTGTGTGAATATATTTAAGTTCCCTGGGCTTGTATTTTTTTGTGTATTCATGTGTTCAACAAGACAAAATACAAAACGGGATGAAGACTTTAAACAAACTCAAGCGCCTGAGAAAAAACATCATCGGGTCCTCTCAGTGGAGGTCTACAGTCAGACCCCTCTAAACTTTTTTGGAGTTTGGGATAATGTGTGTTGCTGGAAAATAATGATGAAACTTGGCTGTGTGATTAATATCAACTCATGTTTGATCTTGTTGTAACCGGTGGGAGTTGGTGCAGTGAGGATAGATCTATAGCCACCTACACACACACTGTTTCACAGAAGGGAGGGTGGAAAAAAAACAGCAAATTGCAAAAAGAATTATTAAAATGTCAACATGCCAAATATTGGAACAATAACACGACAACTGCTATAGTGAACTTAGAATGAGACTGTTTAGTATTCGGAGAAGGAATGGCTCACCGCTCCAGGTGCTTGCGAACGACACCATCCTTCGGTTGGAGCAGCTAAGACGCTAGTGCGTGGGGAATTTTGTGTAACTGAGAGGAGCTGAAAAGTAACTTTAAAAGTCTGAAATCAGCACCTGGAGGAGTAGCTGTTGAACAGAGTCAGTCTACTTCCCTGCTGAGGGCTGTTGAAACCAACACTTATTTTAGTTAGTACAAGTTGCAAAGCAGCATCTTGAAGTGTTGAAAATGCTGCATCCGCTCCATGATTGAATACAAACATGGGTGGGTGTGGGTGTGGAGCGCGGCTGCCCCACTTCTCACTGCCTTCCTGGCCATGAAAATAAAGGCAAGAGGTTGTGGGGCTAAACTTGGCGCGCCTGCTAATCCTCTGCTAACGGTTCCTGTCCCTCTTACCCTCAAGCGACAGCGTGTTGACAGCCGCCTCCACCCCTTTCACCTCCTCCACCCCCACCAACCCCCTTCCTCCATCAGCTCCCCCCCTGCACCCCCAACCCACCTGTCTCATGTCACATTGCTTCCCCCCCATATCCACTCCAGCAATTTCCTGTTGCCCTCTCAGATAGTGTTACAAGTCCCAAAACTGCAAAGGCAGACACACACACAAACACACACACACTTGCACTGCCTGCAGGCTCACTCTAATAGACATTAAGAGGGACACACACTCACACACCAACGCGTATACACACACATTCATTCTTGCATGCCAGCCATGCTATCATTTTCACTGCCAATCCTCACAATCTCAACGCTTACACCATTGCACTTTCCAACTCTCTCTCTCTCTCTCACACACACAAACACACACACTCGCTCTCTGTTTCTCTCTCTCTCTCTCTCTCTCTCTGACCAGATTATTAATCCGGCTCAGGGAACAGGCTGTGACCAAAAACCTCGTCGGAAGCAACAGATGGACTGCCTCACAAAAAAACAACGAAACCCCCAAACACTTCCTGTCGGATTTGCACACATGCAGATCAGAAACACACACACACACACAGACCAGCCTGTAACACCTCTCATGAATGGTTAGGAGGAAGAGGATGTTGTGGTTCAGATTAGATAATGTGCGTGTCAGTAAAAGTGTGTAGAGGCTCTTTTAAGGGAGAGTAAGTGAGAAGTTTGTGAGGGAGATTTTGTGTAGTAGGAATCATGTGCTAAGGCGTTTGTGCGTCTGTGTTAGTGTGAAATTAAGGGCTGTGGACATGAGGACGGTGTCGTGTGGCCATGTGACTTTGGTCTGAGTGCGTATCCGCAAATACCGACAAGTATGAATAAGAAGTAAAAGTCCTAATTTTGACAAAGAGCCAGAAACCGTTTGTGTGTTTTCATGTCGGAATTCTGGAGGCCAGGATTTGAGTCCAAGACTTTCAAGACCCCTCACATCAGGGTAATTGTAGCATGCTAAATCTATGTTTTGTACTTTCTAAGGTTAGTTCATGACTGTAAAAGTTTGGCATAAAAACTTTTAGCTGTTCACTATTTATTCAAAAAAAGTACACAGAGTAATTTTATGTAACCAGTTCAACTTTCATTTGGGCCAAACGTTTCGCATTAGCGGGGCTCTTAGCGACAGGTGGGTTGTTTGCTGTTGCTCTGCTCTGACTCACTGGACCCAGCTGTGTTTATGGTGTCGGTGTGTTTTAAGGAGTCATTGATGAGCACACAACTGGTTTGCTGAGCGGTTAACAGTTCCAGTCAGGGAAATTCTGCTATAGTCACATTTTCATGGTGGCGCTAAAGTGTCTTGTTAGCGTTAGCTTACTAGATTAATTTGTCCTGTTTGCCTAGTTATCTCACTAGATTAATTTGTCTTGTTAGCTTAGTTAGCTTTCTGGGTTAATGTGTATTGTTAGCTTAGTTAGCACACTAGATTAATTTGTCTTGTTAGCTTAGTAAACTCTCTAGATTAATTTGTCTTGTTAGCTTAGTTAGCACACTAGATGAATTTGTCCTGCTAGTTTAGTTAGCTCACGAGATTAATTTTTCTTTTTAGCTCAGTTAGCTTACAAGATTAATTCGTCTTTTTAGCTCAGTTAGCTCACCAGATTACTTTGACTTGTTAGCTTAGTTAGCACACCAGATGAATTTGTCCTGCCAGTTTGTTTACCTCACTACATTAATTTCTCTTTTTAGCCTAGTTAGCTCACTAGATTAGCGCCCTAATAAAGCCTCAGTTTTGGGGGATATTGATTCGATACCTTAGCTTTTACAGAAACCTGCAGATACCCCCAAACTCTTTTGATCAACATTACTGTAATCAGGCAAAAAAATATACCTAAATGTTTTAAATATGTTTGTGTGAACGAGTGTCTGTACCCTAACCACAGCTTTGTGTTTGTTTAATGATGCCAAACAGCAGATGGAGGTCCAGAGGTCAACTATAAGACATGAGGAGACACCTGGCGTCTTTGTGGTCGCTGCACTCATTTACTTGCACACTTCCTGTTATGCCATCGCTCCATCACTTTTTAAAAAAAATGCAAAATACGAATGACACAATTCATTGAACACACAATACAGCTCAACCAAATTTGCCATGTTGGCTGTTAAAGAGTGAAAATAACAAACTTTACCGCCATTAATAGGTCAGCCAGGTGACCTCAGGCATTTGTTGCTTTAGATTATGTCAAACTCAGATGAGAAAAATATCAAACTTCAGAATATTTCTGTGCTCTAGGCTTAAGTCAAGTTGACTCACACATCATAAGTTTACTGCAGCTGCCCCGTGGGTAATACACTCATGACTGACGAGCAACCTCACTCAAAAGAAAAAGGGAACTGTCCCTTTAAGGTGAGGGTCAGGGGACAGGGAATGCGTTACAACAGATGGTCCCCACAAGCATGGAGCACGGACATTTGCGTAGGTTTCATTAACATGCTTCCCCGCTGTTAAAATCATCACTTGTGTCGTCGGACCTCTGACCTCACCCACGCCCTGTGGAATGCTGGGAAAGAATGTCTGGAGTGGGGGGAAAGTCAGAATGGACAGCTTTGTTCATGAACTCTGTGTTTTACTCTGTGTGTGTGTGTGTGTGTAACTGTACAGTCTTATACAATGTTGTCTAACAGTCATTAAGCCCACGCATTTTCCACACAGCAAGACAACCCAACCTAGACTTTGTTCAGGAACCGCCTGACATTTTAGCAAAATATTTAACCTTTAACCAGATCTAAATTTAACCTCAAAACATATTAATCTTTCCAGCAGAGATGGAAAACCACACAAATTGTAAACACAATATTTTTAAAGCTTTTATCTACGTTACACAGTTGAACCTGAGACTCATGAAACAAACTGATTCCCAAACAGCAAAGACTTTCCCCTTTATAACAGGGTCGTTCTCATGTAAACAAGGCCTGAAGTGACATATTTGTCACACAGACACGACATTTGTTGGTATTTCCAAATCTTTAGTGCCAAAAATAGTTACAACTGCAGTTTGGGATGTTAGATTGGGCCAGGTTTTTGTACCTCAGATCATCTTTTACAGCTACCTTGATTAAGGAAGCAGGCCTACCTAGGGTATCTACAGTAGAAGATGAAGTAGTGCATTCAGATATTAGACCCCTACCAGAAGGGGTAGCAATTTTCCTGTTATGCTTCCTCAAGCTAAATCCCAAAACATCCACATAAGCTGCATGTTCAAGGTCCTTAAAGGGATATGCGTAAATTTAAGTCATGGTCAAACACACCTTAACACAGAGTTAGACACCCCCTCAAGAGATGAATGTTGCCGATCACTTGCTTCTCTAGTTATACCAACTTCAGCAACGACTGCATGATAGCAATACAAAGCAGTCGACGTCTCCACGCGCAAACCTCAACCAAAACGCCACTCTATAGCCACAAATAATGCTCAGAACAGCACCTAACTTCATCAACAGTGCATATAGGGTCCCAGCCATAGTACCACAAAACATCTTTTTAGCTTTGCCTGATTTCTTTAGCAAAGAGACTAAACACAACTCACCTACTCTCCTCCAGCAGCCACTTGTTTGTGGGGGAGCTCTGACGAGTCGATCACAGGGTGCAGCGGAAAATTTATGATCATTACTTCATGGAAGTGCAATCAGACCAAGACGCTAAGGCAGAAGAACTACCCGTCTACAGTGCACGTACAAAATACAAGAACTTTGCATTTCCATGAAGTAATAATCATAAATGTTCTTCCTTGAGCTGCGAAACTCCACTGCACTCAGTGACCGACTTGACTACTTAAATTCACGCCGGGATATCCCTTTAAGAGCTCACGACAACAAATACATGCATCTTCTTCTGATTTTTAAAGGGGGGTAAAATGAAGAGAAAAACCAAACTGGAGGAAAATGAATTCTTCCATGCTCAGTAGCAGCTCTGTTAATCTTTCTGAACACCTAAATTTGGCTCTTAGTGTGAAAATTTTCCAAGCGGTGCCAAGAGATGGCAGCTGCTGCAAATTACACCCAAACTTCCCATGACAAGGTGTGCAACAGTGACAGAAATAGCAAAGAAGTTCACATTCCCGGCTTTGTCTTTTTGCCTCATGGTGCTGCAGATGTGCCCTCAGTTTTAACAGACCTCACTAAACCCACCAAAGTGTCACCTGACTAGTTTTGGCAAAATATACCCCGATCATTCACATCAGCTGGATTGCATCCTTAAAAGATGACGGATGTGATTGCATCTCTTCAACACCCACCTTCCCATCCCGTCAGCCCCCTCACCACCCACCTCCCCCTGTGATCCAAGTGTGAATCTGATGGATTTGCAGGGTGTTGATAGAGCTCCCTGTCAGGTGCTGCACGTGCCGCGCTGAGCTGTCCCAGATACCAGCAAAGCTATGGGGAAACACTTGATAGTCATGGTTTATATCTTAATAGGTTTTACCATTATAGACATCCAGAGAGAACCAGCTCGAGTGGTTGGGAGGGCAGGGGTTTGACTGGAAAATTACAGGTTCCCTTCCTGTGAACCCAGGGGATACTTAGCTCTTTTTTTTAAGCAAGCACCTGCTGTTTAAAGTAAGTTGAGATTTAAAGCCGCCAGAACATTAAAGATAAATCAGAGGAAAATGTTATTACTGCCCAAGCTCCTTCTTCTTCTTCCTAAATAAGATGTCTGAATCATAATCTTTACAGTGTTTGAAAGAAGCTGCACTGTAGCGGCACAAAACGATGAGTCATAGCTGCAATAAATCTACATATTCTTGCGCTAACCTCTTTACATTAAATCAAATGAGTGTGATATGAAAGTTAATACAATGGGCTCCACCGCTGGTCGCAAATCTGCTTCTATTCCCGGGCCCTTAGAGTCCCCTTAAAGTTTCTGTAGGGAACTTTTAACTAGATTTTTAAAAGTATCTCACCTACAACAGCAAGTAAGACCATCGGAGGGAAGATAACCACCCAAGACGTGACTCTCATCCCCGTATAACCACACAATACACAAATACTATAAAAGATCATGGCTACCACAAAGAACAGGCATCTACACCTTCTTTCAAAATTCATTGGTCAGGTTTGCCCACTGACGAAATAATTTACGGCACGCAGGCCGGAAGTTACGGCACTTCGACAGGGACATGAGAGGAGCAGTGAGTTGTTGCTTATCTACGGCCGAGTAATCTAGTCTGTAGGTTTACTGTTACGAACGGGGTGTAACTGTAGGCAAAAAATACAAGTCACAATAACACAACATGACTTTGTTTCACCGGCTTTACATTACACTCTGTAGAAATGCAAATATATACATTACCTCATCACTACTCATCCTGCAGATAGCCAAAAAAACAAAAAAATAAAATTCAAAGTACCGGTAAGTCCTGTCTTGTTTCATTCGCCTTCAAACAACTACACGCCAGACCAAAGACCTTTAGTATCTTCACGTCAGTATGTGCAAGAGCTCATGGGAAATGCATTCATCATTCCCGTAAAACACTACCGCTTTTGTCCATAGAGGCCGCCAAACGCAACGGAAAATGAAAACTCTGTTCAGCTGCTTTAACTTCTCTCCGTCACAAGGGATGACCTGGCTGGTGTTGCGG